GCCCCTCACCAGCCCTACCCCCACTTCCTTGGGGCCCACATACTGTCTAGTGCTCCTGCTGTCTCCCGGGCCTGGTGGTCTGCAGTTTGAGAGCCTCTTTGGTCTCAGGCCCCCCAGCAGAGCTGTGCCTGCTGTTTTTACTGCATCTCTGTCTCTGGGCGCAGGCCCAGCCTCTGGAACCCAGCCCTCCTCCCTTCCACCTCCCCTAGAGCTCCTGGCGGCCCCTTTGACCCAGGCTCACGTGTCTCTTAAGCACTATGTCCCCAGCTCCCTGTAAACTGCTGTTCTGGCACTTTTTCCTTTGGTACTGGGGACTGAACTCAGGGGCACTTTCCCACTGAGCTACAGCCCCAGTTCCTTTTATTTTGAGACAGGGTCTAAGTTCCCAAGGCTGGCCATGAACTATGAATCCTCCTGCCTCAGCCTCCCAAATCACTGGCATTAGCTATGCGCACTTTGCCTGGCTGTCTCGGAATGCTTCCAACAGCCCCTATGAGCATTTCAGAGATGCAAAGGCCTGCAGAGGAGTACATCGGGTCTCCCAGAGGCAGAGCCAAATGCTCGTCCAAGTCTGGCTACTCTGTGTCCAGGCTGTTCCCCTGCATCCAGTGCTGCCCCTTGGCTCTGCCAGTTATGCTCAAGCTGCTAATGAACTTGTCACTGTGCTCCTCTGAAACGGGGACTTCTGCTATCCTCACCTGTTCTCCCAGAACTGGGCAGCGCCAGGCAGGATCCACCTGCAGATGCCCGGCAAGTTTAAGAGCCAGCTTATCTAGTGGATGGGAGTGACACCTTCACCCCAATCTTCCAATGGTCCTGCGGATTCTGTAGCCACCAGGAATTTGCTGAAGCATTCTTTACGAACATCTTTGGTTCTCGAGATGACTGTAGGGACACCTGGAGGCCGGATTTATGGACGGTGCTTCAGGAAGGCCCAGCGTGTTGGTTCCCAGGCCAGCAGTGGGTGGAATCCCAGCACCAGCACATCGGACTCATTTTAGTTCATTGGTGTGGCCAGCTGCAAGATGGGGTATTAACTGAGACCGTCACATGACTGCTCACTCCCCTTCTGGCTTGGTAGCAGTGAGGCTAGTGGACATCACATCCAGCTAGGTCCATACTGCCCCAGCCTGAGAATCAAGGTCCCACGACCAGAGGCTTCTCTGGGAGAGCGACCTGATCCTAGGCCCACATTCCCTGGTTAGCCCTCAAGGGACAGTATAGGTATACTGGGGTGGCCACTTGTCACAGGGACCTCTGCACTCCTCACTTGGGCCTCCCCAGGCAGGTCTGCGGGGCGATGGTAAGGCAGAGGCCCTGCCTGGCACCAGTCCATCCCCAGTGCACGTGCTCTCACAGACCAGGGCGCGGTGTCTGCTTCCAGGCCTCGTTGGGGGGCAGGCTCAGCCCTCTCTGCTGTCTGCCCCATTCTTAGCCTGGGATTGCACTGGTAAGTTAAGCAGCTCCACAGCTCAGAGAGGAAAGGTAAGCCTAAACCCTAGACAAGGGTGAATTTTTTCTTTTTAAATTCTTGCCAGCAATTTGGAAGGCTGAGACAGGAGGATCACAAGTTTGAGGCCAGCCTCAGCAACTTAGCAAGACCCCTTTAAAAAAAAAAAAAAAAAAAAAAAATATATATATATATATATATATATATATATATATATTTATTTATTTATTTATTTTAGTTGTCAATGACTTTATTTTGTTTATTTATATGTGCTGCCGAGAATCTAATCCAGTGCCTCACACGCTAGGCAAGCACTCTACCACTGAGCCACAACCCCAGCCCAAGACCCTGTCTTAAAGTAACAAATAGAAAGACTGGGGATGTAGCTTAGCAGTAAAGTGCCCCTGGTTGAATCCCCAGTGGGGGAAAAAAAAATCTAGGCCTTGGTGCTACTGCTTACTCTTCCACACAGATGCCAGGCTGTTCCAGGTGAACATGGAAACTCAACCTGAAAGACTCAACCCCTGAAACGCCACTGAAACCACCGAAAGCCAGACTCCCAGGCTCAAAGGAAAGTTCTGGCTTTGTCACTGAGCGGTGCTAGTCAGCAAGCCATACAGCCAACCGTGATTTTAGGTTTCTCTAAAAATGCAGAGGACTGCTTCAGAAGACATTTTTCAGGATCAAACACACTAATGTCCACTAAAATAATGCGTAAATGCCTCAAAATGCCTGGTGCATACTCAGGAGGCCCCGAGTATGTACTGAGCAAACGCAACCTGCAGGTTAATGATGGACGTGACCAATACTCACAGGGACCAGCCTGCATAAAGCTCAGGTGGAGGGCTGTCCCTGCTGGGACCACTTGCTGCCAGTTTTGGTTGTAAGACTCCCTGTCCCCTCAAACTGTTGCTTTGGCAGGTAAGGGAGTAAGATGCCAGCCCTCGCCAGTGTCATTAAGGCATAAATGTGAGACTGCTTCTGTGTTCAACCTGTGACTACAAAAGTGTTGCCAAGATTCCAGCCTTCCACCGAGCAGAACTTGCATTCCATCCTGGCATGCATAACAGGGCTGGGCGAGCCAGGGAATCAAGAAAACACTCAAGTTCAAGTGGCTGTGCACTGCCACTGAGCTCTCCTTGTTTTGCTGGAGGGGCCTGAGATGACAGCTGAGCCACATACCCACGACTAGGACACTCGAGCCAAGGAACCGGGTGTGCCTGAGCGATTAACATTTAGCCAAGAGGGAAGTGTACAGCCGAAGCTGGTGGTGGAGCTCCAGCAACCAAATCCGACCCTTCATCATGTCACTTTCTAGCTGTAAGTGAGGAGCGAAACGCAAGCACAGCGGGTAAACCTGCATAAGTCACGCTGGTGCACTCAGAGCGCCCCGCCCGGAGGCAGGGAGGCCCAGGGTAAAAGCACTAATGAGGGTGCCCACCTTTCACTGAGTGCTGTGAGCCACAAGTCATGCCAAGCACCTAATGTGAAGTCTCTTGGGTGGGAAAGGAAGAACTCAGAAGACGGGGAGTGAAGTGACACAGTGGATGGGACTGGCCTAAGTCACCCCGTGCCTGATGCCCAGCCTTGAATGCAACTTAAAAAAACTGAAGCCCTGCCCTACTCTGGATTGGGGCAGCTAGTTTTGTCTCTGTTGGATCCTGGAACCCAAATTTGGGTGTTTTGAATTCATGCTCCTTTCCTCCCCAGGTTGGCAGAAAGTGACTGGAAAGGCATGGGTGACAGAGCTGGATGATCCTCCCCAGATGCAGCCGACAGCAGCACTGCGGTTAGTCTTCTCCCTGCGAGGTTTGAGAGTTCTCAGGTGCCTACCACTCAGGACATCAAGCAGGCTTAAGGAAACCCGGCCGGGGTGGGAGATGGAGCTCAGCTGGTAGAGCACTTGCCTAGTATTCGCAAGGCCCTGGGTTTGATCCCCAGCACCACAAAATTAAAAAAGAAAGAATCCCACCCTGAGCTTTGTTCTGACCTCTTGTTACTTAGCTATAAAATCCCAACTATGAAGGCAGGAGTACAGCTGGTGGGGTTTCAGGAGTCCCTCTCAGATATCAAAGCCCCTTGTAAACGGCATAGTATCTGTCTACACCCCACGCATAGCCTCCCGCACTCCAAACCATCCCCACGTGACTCACGGAACCTAATACGATGTAAGTGCTCATGTTAAAGTCATTCTCTACTGTTTAGGGAATAATAAGTCTGTACATGTTTAGTACAGACACATTCTTTCTCTGAATTATTTTTGTGGTTGGTTGAATTCAGAGGCAGACCCTCCAATACCCACAGCTGACAGTGCTCTAGTCAAGGTCTGAGCGGTGCATCCTTCCGTCCCTGCTCATTCTATGTTCTTTGGGATGGAACCTCAAGCTCTACCCTGTATGCTTCTCAGGGCTGCTTCCCACTGGTCAGCCCAGATCCTGCTTTGCTAGTGGCGGTTTCTACAGAAGGTAAGTTTCAGTTTTGGGGTGCACAATGGACTATAATGAAATGGCACAATCCAGATGCAACAGACCGGGAGCTGGAAGCACAAGATGCAGACAGGAGAGCTCGTTCTGACAGGTTTACTGGCTCTGAAGTACAATTTCAATCCCGTGACCCTTTGTTGACTTCTTCCAACATCAACAGAGGCCAAGAGGTATAGTAATGGCCTCTGAAGTCAAACCACATAAAGAGAGTGACTGTGATTCCCCGGCCTGCCTCCTGAAATGATGTGAGGGTGCATCAGGTACATGCTGTGATAACAGCAGCACAGTCGCAGGAACAATGAAGCCGAGGCAGAGGTGCCTACACAGTTTTATCTAAGTGTCTTGTTTGTTAGGATGGAGCTGACGCACCGTTCTCACAGTCAGGAACAATTAGCACCGAGAGGTCCTGAAAAGGAGGCAGAATTCATAAGGCATCAGTTACGGGCGGAGGGAAGCCGCCATCTGCCGATGGGCACCAGAGCACTGTGGCGCTGGAAGGGGAAAAGTGGGCTGGACGAGATCCAGGGGCCTCTTGCCCACGTTAAAACCGAGTAGCTCCTCTGCCTGCTGGCACCCGTGTGCAACACGTTCTGTGTCTCACCGTCTCACACCCAGGGAAGCAGCAACAACCAAGGCAGGAGCCCAAGGGAAGGAAGACCGTGCGGCGGAGGAGCCCTCTCTCCCCTTCCCTCTATCCCTCAGCTGAGCCCCTTTCCCACCAGGAGAGAAAGAGGGGGCACAGTCCCTCTGGTTCTTGGCTGCTTGTGGTCTTGGAGCCACTCCGTTTGGAAGAGAAAAGAGCAGTCAGGCAAAGAATAAAGGAAAAGTACTAACCCAGCACCTTTAGGCTAGAAATAGCTTCAACATTAAAAGCCACAACTACAATAAATGCATCAAACAGAGAAGGGCCTCCGTGGAGTGGAGGACGTCACACTAGGCAGGCGTGTCCCAATACTTGGCAATGTTAAGACCCCAGGAGCTGCTAGAGATAAGTCATCTCATTATAACCTACGAGCAGTCTGGTTTCTGGCCATGATTAAATGAGGCCTATACATGTTTGTCTAAGGTTTAGAATCTTAAACTAAAACCTTTATTTCAAAACAAAAACAAAATAATTTGCCAGGCAGAGAAAAGGTCTGAGTAGAAGATGGAGGCTTTCCTTCCCTTCCTCCATGACTCAGACTGGATGGAGCGGAGAGGAAGAGGCAAGAGTAAGGAAGAACCTCAGACGAAGGCCGGGTGTGTAGTGATGTCCCCTGCAGATCCGGTTTATAATCTTTACTTCGTCGCACACAACATCAAGGTGGTTTAGTTCCAGGGAGGTGCTCCGCTCCACCCTGACCAGCTCTCTTCCCCTCCATGCTCCCCAGTGAGGCAGAACCAAACAACACATTCCTCTACACTAAGCTTTAGACAGACGGCACTGTCCCGTAACTGCCCTTGCTTCCTTGTGCTACTGGGAAAGGACAAAGAAAAACTGGGAAAGCAGTAAAACCCTCTGCAAGCCAGATGGTGCCTGTCCTCCCAGGACACTGTCAGTGGGACCTCTGCTGGGACTGGCCCTGCCCCAGTACATCAGAAGAAAGGCAGCAGGACAGGTGGGTCACCTGCACTGAGGTGGAAGGAGAAACCAAACAGTTTGGGTCACAAGTGGATTCTGGCACATTTTCAGATTAGGTTAAAAATGTCACGGTGTGCACAGGAAATAGACAAAGGAGTTTTTTGAGGGAGGTAACACCCGTAGGCAGAACGGACGGACTGACCACTCTGGGGAGGAGCTCCCTGTGGTAGGGGGCAGGAGCTAGGGCGCCTCAAGGAAGGTGTTGGTTCGGAAGATAGAGGAGACAATCTTCCCAGTAGCGTTGATTGTGCCCTCGCTGTCTGAGCTGGACTCAGAGTCGCTGCTCCCAGAGTAGGCACCCAAGCCTGGGAGGATGCCGATGCAGACAGCAGCGGAAGGGCAGTGGATGGAGGGGCCGCTCAAGGAGGAGCTTCCAAGAGACACGCAGGACGGAGCCTCTGCAAAAAAAAGAGGACGGACAACAAGTTACTCATCACTCTTTTCCAAAATTGAGAGGCTCTTACCATGTGCCAGGCACTGTGCCGAAGCCTTGCCCCAGAAGCCACATAGATCCAACAACCCTGTTCAGGCTCGACTCGTCCTCCTGTCTCACAGATGAGGAAACATTGGGGGAAGTGCAGCTCCAAGAGGTGAAGTGATTCTCCAGGTAAAGAAGCAGGGCTGGGCCTTGAGTCAAGGCCTTTCTAACCCAGAACCTGACTACATTCTCCGTTCCCACCAGCTCTGAGACAGAACGAACCCCTTGCAGTGTTGTCTGTTGTGGTTTGATTCCCTGTCCTCGCAGCAAGTGGGACTCATGTCTAATTTCGTTCCTCTTAGGGCAGAAACAGCCACGGGGAGATAAAGGGCTCCACATGCTCAACAGTAGGGGTGATGGCAGATTAACAGACGGTCGACACGCTGGCTAGCAGGGACACATGGTGAAGGCCACCAATCAGCCGCAGAATAACGCTCTTTATTAAGAAAAGCCACTTTTCCCTGATGAGAGAGAGAAAGATGAGCGATCTAGAAATGGGTTAGTAATGTGCCTTGCTGTCACATTTCTCTTTTACAGAAAGAGAAAACTGAAGCCAGTCAGGTAAGACATTAGGGCCACGCACCACTCTCACCAAGGATCTGGAGTTCTTTTCTTCCCAGGAAGCCCACAGTTACTCTGCCACTGCAGTGACAGCACGCACGTCTCAATCTAGGAGATGCAGAACTTGACGGCTGAAGAAGAGTTAGGAACTCTCCTCCATCCCCTCTTCCCTCGCATGTTTCCAGCCTGCTTTATCACCCTACCAACCTGCCATGTAGGGATCAGCCCTGTTGACGGAGGAGGAAGTCAAATGATTTGGCAAGCTTATAGACTACTTAGAATAGAAAATATTAAACTAAGTCTAAATCAAAGAGACTACCATACAACGATACCAGAGCTCACTGGAGAGGGAGAGCGGAGCTCATCTGTCACTGCCCTGTGCTGACAAACACAACTCCCTCTGGGCTTTGCCTTAGACCTTACATCAACACCTCACTTTCATAGACACCTCAAGTAGATGCAAAAAAGAGACTGGGTTCCAAGGATATAAAACCAGGGGTCACTGAAAAATACCCAAGAAGCCAAAAGAGCTGTCAAACAGCCAGTGCACAGAATTCAGGAGCTCAGTGAATCTGCTGATTTTTATGGGATGCTCTAATAAGGAGAAAAAAGGTGCTAACGTTATGTAATGTTAAAGCACAGATATGTCAGTAACAGGAAAGCTGACAATGATCACGAAGACGGTTACCAGCAGGCAGAAGCAAATATGTGCAACAAATATCACAAAAGCTAGTGTCTTCAAGGTATAAGGAGTTCTGATCTGTTAAAAAAAAAAAAAAAAAATCAACAACTGAATAGAAAAGCAGACTGAAGATATGAACAGTTCACAGAAAAAGAAACAGATGAATTTTAAACCTAGGAAGATAAATAGTATATTAGGCAGGAATGTGCAAGGAAGGGGTAACTTCAATGTTGCTGAGGGAATATAGGAAATTTGGCAATGGCCTTCAAATTCAAAAGATGTTCATAAGAGAACACTCACTGCAGCACTGTTCACAGTAGCAAAAGGCTGCGAAAATTGTCCATTAATGGGTGACTGGCTAAGTAATGGACTTCTAGTCAGCAGCTAAGAATAAAGCATGTCAGGCTGGGGTGCAGGTTACTGGAAAAGTGAGGACATGGATTCATCTCCAGCACTGCAAAAACAACCACAGTAACAAGAATAAAGCATCTCTGTACTGGAATTAAAAAATCTCCAAGATACTGTGAAAAATGAAAAGAGCCAACAGGAAAAACAGTGTGTAAAAGTTACAATTTGGAGGGTGGGGGAACAGGGATGCCCGTGCAAATGTATGATAGTATCCGAAAAAATACATTTAAAAAATGGTAGCTGTGGCTGCTCAGGGGAAAGAAACCAATGGCTGGGGGAAGAGGGAAGACTGACTTTTCACTCCACACTCTTATCCCTTTTGAGCTTTTTATTATGTGCATATATTACTGATTCAAATTATTTTTTAAAAAGGCAAGTGCAAAATTCAAAAAGTATCTTAAGCCACTTAAATCAGGGAGATAAAGTTCCACTCATCACTGTAACCTCAAGATCATTGAAATTAAAGATAAGAAAACTGCAGAAGAATGCATAGTCCAAATGACAAGATGGGCTGCTTGTCTGAATTCTCACTCACTGTAACCCCTGGACGGCAAGGGCTCACTCTTCACTATTCCTTCCTCGGGACGCACAGCATAGATCTGGCACAGAATAGGCCAGAACGTCTACTGTGTGAGAATGCAAACATGAAAGAAAAGAAATGTAGAGTTCCACTGCAAGTGATGAATCTGGGGGCGGGTAGGCAGGAGTAGTAAAAATTGGATGCTCTTTTAAAAATTGAGACATGACATCAAGCTATATCATTCTTGTTACTTGAACGTTCATTACCATTATCATATATCACATACAGAATACATACTTTCAGTATTCTGGCAGAAATATTTGGTTGTTTAAAAAATATATACCTTATTAGGGTATGTGAGTCAATTACTTAGGAAACTTATTTATGGGAATGCTATTCAGTGAGGCATTTTGTTTTATCAAGTGTGAACTTAATTTAAGGGGCTGATAAAAAAAAAAAAAAGGCTCAAGTTCAGAATATCTAGCGAAGACAAGAGCTGGCCTAAGGGAATAATGGAAGCCAGCTGTAAAATACGACCAAGGAATCTGGACCACTGTGGGATCAGAAGAGTTTAAGTGAAAAGACCCAAACCTCCAATTATCTAGGAGGTTTCAAGAAAGAAAAAAAGACTGCAATGCAACTCTGACAAATTTCATTCCAAAAGCAGCTAGCAGTCCGAAGAGAACAAAATGGTGCCCTCTGATCTCACCCATTTGGTGAAGTTTCCTGCCAACTTCTGTATTTGCTGGACCACATTGTCATACCAAATTATTACAGAAAATTACTAACAGAGAATGTTCTTGGGATGCGGGCAGATGCGTGACTTGGGAGTAGATGGAGCCAACTTTGCATTCACTGGCTCTGCTCAGGCCAAGTCCATAGTCTTCAGTGGGGAAACTGAATCTCTCTGGGTCCCAGTTATCTTTTGAGGGACAAAGAGGCAAATCCTTCTCCTGCTGAGGACAAGACTCTGAAGCAAGTTTCAGGGGGCATTCTTCTCACGGGGCCTTAACTCCTTCTAGCTAAGGAGGATACTTCTTGCCTAACTTCTGCTGCGAGGATGTGGGGGCTGGAAGAAGGTATTTAGAAAGACAAAAAAGATGGCTCTGAAAAAAGTACCTAACAGAGTTCAAAGAAGCCACAGTTTTCCCTTCCAGTGACTCATTCAAACAGGGAGGGAAACAACAGAGACAGGGCAAGTGGTCTACTAGCTGAAATGTATTTAAGATTCCCATTTAGAGTGTGTGTGTGTGTATCACAATCAAGTATATGTGTATCCTCGGAATTTTCAGGATTGGCTTCAGGACCCCCTGCCCTGGTAAAAAGTGGTACAGTATCTGCATACAACCTGTGTACATACTTCCATATACTTTAATCATCTCTCCATTACTCATAATACCTAATACAATGTAAATGCTACATACATAGTTGTTATAATGACTGTTTAGGGAATAATAAGAAAAAACCTAAACAGCTTCAGTACAGAGTTAATTTTTTCCTTCAATTGTTTTCAATCCATGATTGATTAAATCCATAGATGTGGAACCTGTAGATACAAGGGCCAACTATATATATATATATATACATTTATCCTATTAAAGCAGTCATGTAAGTTCCTATGTATTAAAAAGATGTCAGTGAACAGGAATTCCTACATTGTAGATGAAAGTGTAAACTGGGATAAATATTCTGAGTGACAATTTGACACTATTTCTCCATATACAAATGCATATAGTCTCTCTGACCCAACAATTACTTTTAAGTATTTAATCTGAATATATTCACACAAATGGAAAAATCATGCATGACAGGGTTATTATTAAAACACCAGAATAGGAAGAATAGAAACAATATTTATGAATAAAAAATAAGATAAATATTCCCTGGTATAAGAGTATAAAGGAATACTAAAATGTAATGAAGAAGTTCTTTATATGCAGATATGCAAAAATTCCTAAGGTAAACCAATGAATTAAGCAATAAACACAAGAGTAAGTTAAAGTAAAATAAAACTTATACAATGATCAGAAGCATGAAAACAATATTTGATATATTCTTGCCAAAGAATCAATGTGAATTTATCGAGCTTCTAGGTCTAATTACCACTTTACAGGAAACACAGAATAGAAGACCTCACAGTGGGCTGAGGTTCAGGGGTAAAGTGCTTGCCTCATACGTGTGAGGCACTGGGTTCAATCCTCAGCACCACATAAAAATAAATAAAGATACTGTGTGTTCATCTACAACTAAATAAACATTAAAAAAAAAAAAAAAGACATCACAGGGATACAATTAGCAAAATCTAGAGTATGGAAAACCCCACAGGACAAACCCAGTTTCTTCACACACAAAACAAAAATTAAAGAAAACCACCAAAAAATATTTTTAAAGAAGGGACCAACCAATTAAATTTGTATTAAAGGACATATTAGCCTATTGTTAAGATATCATAAGACAGTGATATTTCCAAATTATTCTACAGATTCCAATCTCTCTCTATAAAAATCTCAGCTCCTTTTATTTCCCCCAGAAACTGACAAGCTGATCCCAAAATTCAGATGGAAATGGAAGAGAATCTGAATAGCCAAAACAATCTTGACACATCCCAATTTCAAAACCTACTAGAAAGTCAGAGTGACCAAAAATGTGTGGCAGTGGCATAAGGACAGCCATAAAGATTAACCAAAAGAAAATTGAACACAGTAATAAACCCATACATTTATGTTCAATTGGTTTTCAACAAGGACATCTTGACAGTGCACTGGAGGAAAGAAGAATCTTTTCAACAAATGGTGCTGGGACAAATAGATATCACCAGAGAATGAAACTGGATCTCTATATCATGCCATGTACAAAAAGTAACTCAAAGGGTATCAAAGACTGGCCAAGCACAAGGGTGCATGCCTATGATCCCAATGTCTCAGGAGGCTGAGGCAGAAGGGTTTGAAAGTTTAAGGCCAGCCTCAGCAACTTAAGAGGCCCTGTCTCAAAAAGTAAAAAGGACTTTGGAAAAGTAACTTTTACATTTAAAAGTAAACTTAGCAGCTCCTTAAAAAGTTAAACACAGAATTACCAAATGACCCAGCAATTCTACTTGTAGGTATATACCCAAGAGATTGAAAAGCTGTTTTACACAAAAAGTTGTACATGAATATTCACAGCATCATGATTCAAATTAGCCAAAAAGTGGAAACAACCCAAATGCTAATCAACTAATGAATGGACAAAATGTTGTATTATGCAACGGATATCATCAGCCATTAGCAAAAAGTACTCATTCATGCTACAACATGGACGAACTTCAAAAACATCATATTAACTAAAAAGAAGCCAGACATAAAAGGTCACATATTGCTTGATTCCATTTATAAGAAATGGTCCCAAATCCACAGAGACGAAAAGTAGACTAGTGGCTGCTAGTGATTAAGAGGAAGAGGGAACAGGGAGTAACTGCTAATGGAATAGGGTTTCTTGAGTGTTGAAAATGTTTTGAAATTAGATAGAGGTGATGGCTGTATGGCATTGTGAACATACTAAAACCCACTGAATTGTATTCTTTGAAAGGGTGAATTTTATGATATGTGAATTATATTTCAATATTTTTTAAAGGTTTATGATATTTGGTCCTTGTTTGCATCCTGGTTTTTTAAAAAATAACTACCAAAAAATGTTTAGGTAATTTAGGAAAATGAGTAGTAGCAGTAGCAGTAGTAATAATAATAATAATAGATATAAGGGAATTATTGTGATATATTCATAGTATTACAATTTATTAAAATGAAACAAAGAACTTTTGAGAAATACATATTGAAGAATATACTCATATTGAAGAATATTGAACTTTTCAGAAATAAATATTGAAGAATACAATTAAAGAATTATAAATGAAATTATATGATGTCTAGGACTTGTCACAAAATATTACGCTTGGGAGGTATAAATGAAGACAGAAAACACGTTAAAACTTGTTAGAGGACGGAGGAGAAGCTCAGCGGTGGAGCAGTTCCCTAGCATGTGCAAGACCTGGGATTTCACCCCCATACTGCAAAAGTAAGTTTTTTAAAAAATTGTTGAAATTAGGTGATAGGGATCAATACACTATTATATTGAGTCTGTTTCAAATTATCTATAATACAGTATTTTTAAAAATACATATTTATAATTGCTTGTATATAAACAGAATAGTTTTGGATGGATACAGAAGAAAAATATAACACTATTTCCCTGTGGAAAGGAGAGCTGAACTGAAGGGAATATGGATAGAAGGGAGCCTCTACATTAAAGTTTTTTTTTTTTTTTGGTTTGTTTGTTTGTTACTAAGGACTGAACCTAAGGACACTCAATCACTGAACCACATTCTCAGCACACACACACACCCTTTTTTTTTTTTTTTTAATTTTGAGACAGGGTCTTACTAAGTTACTTAGGGCTTCATCAAGTCGCTGAGACTGGCTTTGAACTTGTGATCCTTCTGCCTCAGCCTCCAAAACAACTGGGATTACAGATGTGCACCACCATGTCCAGCCATTAAAGGTCTTTTTAAAAGTAGGTTCTAGAGCAAAAGAGTACTAACAGCAACAACCTGCTATCACTGGTACTCTGCAGAAACATTTTTAAAAGCATTCATTATTTTTCTGAGAAAGAAATAAACATAAGCCCTGTTTTATAGATAGATGTTCAGAATCTCAATCCCATAGGGAGTCAGGTGAAACTGAAAACAGAATCTTGAATTTCTCATCCCAAATCCAGCCCCCAGAAACATTCCCCTTCCCTACAACTTTGTGACAACTTAAAACAGAGGCAGAGTCATTGCATAAAAGTAACCACCCAAAGAAAGCATACTTCTGGAGACTGTATTAAGCACTTAGCTTCAATCCAATATAACAATCAGAGAGAGCCAGGCATTCTACCTCCTACTGGTAGCAAGGCAGGTGAAATCAAGAAACTTGACATTTTGAGGGAGACAGAGAAAAACCTCTTGTGAGCAGAGGTCATCTGACCAGGGCTTTGTAAGCACTCCTTAGAGAGCACAACTGTCATTTATCAGTTCCACTGGTTTCTAACATATTACTTCTGCAGGGCAGCTGACATACTCTTGGGTATAAATCCTGTTTGGTATAAAATAGTTGGCAAATTAAATCTAGTAGGCTTATTTGAAGAGTTAAATGTACTCATTTACAGATTCAGTGCATGCCAGCCTTTTACGGTACTTCATGTTTATTATGAGTAAAAGAAAGAAATGAAGGCTGCCACTCACCTTGATTCTTGTCATCTGGGTCAGGGTCTGGTTTCAGTCTTTTCACACTGTTGCCACTCTCTGCGCTGTAACAAAAACCATGGTGATTTGAGCTATGTCCAATCTTGGGGATAAAAGCTTAGGAAATCAGCAGCTCTAGAAACCATTTATATGGATCTTACGCAGCCTCAAGGAGCTGGGATGATCTGAAATGAAAAGCCTTCATTTCAGGTTCTTAATCTCCTTCCAATTATAAAACTCGTTATAAAAGACAACTTAAACTCCTGATAAAATCCAAGAGGTGAAGTATTTAAATTTCTGATTTTTTTTGTTATCTTTATCATTCAGTTCAATTAGAACCACAGATGGAATTCAAGAATATGTGGACAGGTTCACAAATGACAAAAATTTACTTAAGTTAGCAAAGATTAAAGAAACTATCTTCAATAACATGCTACAGATTCTGAGAGTCACCCAAAAGACTGTCGATAAAAGAATGTCTAGAGTGTACTTCTTAACAAAGAAAAAAATTATCCCAAAAGGAAGGCCTTAATCCATCCCAAAAGGAAGGGATGGTGAACAAGAAGGTGGTAAATACAAATATAAGTCTAAACAAGTGTTATTAAAACAAACAAACAAACAAACATGTAATTTGTGGCATTAAACACAACCATACTGAAGACCCAGACAATAGTAGCACATAAAGTAGGAAGAGTGGGACTGTAACTACAGAGTCTAAGGTCCACATATTTTTTGCAGGGAAGTGAGATAGCTATTTACTTTAGGTTTTGCTAAGTATGCCTGGTAAATTTCAAGCTTATTTCTATTAGGGTACATAAATCCAAACTAGTAGAAAGAAAAATAATGATTTGCAATTTTAAGATTTCTCAGTCATGTTTTTCCAGAACAAGAATATAAGAAAAATTATAAATAAACAGACAATGTTAAGACGGTAGAAATGATATAAAAAATATTGATTAAAATAAATAAACTAAATCTACTTAGAAACTTCAGGAGTATGGCAAGTTCAAGGCCAGGCTTAGCAATTTAGCGAGAACTTGTCTTAAAAGGCCAAGATGTGGCTCAGTGGGAGACAGGGCACCACTGCCACTGGGTTAAATCTCCAGCACCAGAAAAATTAAAAAATAAAATAAACAAATAAAAGCAGAGACACAACTAGAAACTTAACAAAAGAAAAAGAAAATCAAACAATACTTAGAAAGACTAAAAAGTAAAAGAATGGAGCCAGGTGTGAGGGGGCGTGCCTGCAATCCCAGCTACTTAGGGAGGCTGAAGCAGGAAGACTGTAAGTTTGAGGCCAGTTATTTAGCAAGACCCCGTCTCAAAATAAAAACAAAAAGGGATGAGGATGCAGCTCAGTGGTAGAACAACCTTGGGTTCGATCCCCAGCCCCTCAAAAAAAGTAAAAGAACGGAAAAAGGGGTACCAAGTAAAACATTAACATTAGGAAAACAGACTTACCCAAAAGCACTGACTACTCTAAGGAGTTTAAAAGTATGTACTCAACAGAGCTATGGAGGAAATCAAGAAATCACTATGAAAGCAGGCTAGGCATACAGCACAGTGACAGAGGGCTTGCCTAGCACGCCGGGAACCCTGGGCTTGATCTCCAGCCTTGCAAAATACACACACACACACACACACACACACACGTGTGTGTGTGTATGCAGTTAAATTAGCTCACTACAGAAATTCAAAAATAATTCTAAATTATTCCTAAGTCAAAGTTTAAAATACAAGAAGAAAATATACAACTTGCGTTCAATGAAAGCTGAGGAAAATTTATAACTTTGGAAGCCTCTGAGAAGAAAGGCTTCACATGAACATGCTAGTTAACTGACAGCTATTTATATCAATAAATAAAATAAACTTGGAGAAAAGATTTGGGAGAAGTCTTTGAGAAAAAACTTGGAGAAGGTATGAAATGGATACTTGTTTCGTTTTTATGCTTTTATACATAGACTACTGAACCTTACTGAACCAGAATTCATGAAGCCTGGGAATACACATTATTAACAGACTCTTAGGTCACTCTAATTACCCAGGGCAGGGGAGGTTAGGAACTCCTGCCTCCAAAAGGCTAATTCATTGCTTTGCTCTGCAAAGCAACATTAAATAATGTATTTTCAAAACCTAAGAGGGGTTTTATTCAGGTCACTAAATAAGCTAACAGAGCCCTTTCTAAAGGAGATCTAAAGACTAAGTAAGGGAGATAGTTACAACAGCCATTCTGCACCAGCAAAAGCACTGGCCAAGAGGTAACTAAATGCCCATCTGAGAGTCCTTCCTTGGCACAGTCCAGGAAGAATGACCCAGGTCCAAATCCTGAGAAACACTGGACCTTATGTAAAAGCTTGAGCAAAGAATAACCCATGAATTGTTAGCCCTTTGAAGCTACTGATATCCCCTCTCCTCAGCTGCTGTACCGTGATGACATTTTACAAGTAGGCAAAGCTCCTAGAAACATCTGCAGCAGATGGATGATGTGCCAAACCACAAGAATGCATCAATACACTCCCTTCAAAACGTGTGGCTGGTTGCCAATATACCATATTGATTTTCCTAATAGACTGCATTTAAACTAAACATCATTCTGCCCATGGTCTGGATGGTCAAATTGACACGACCCGATTCAATCACTATGGTGCCATTTCAGGATCTGGAAAGGGAAGAGCAAACTTGATGAAGAACCATCAAAATCTCTAGGTAGTGCTACCACTGCCATGTCAATCAAACCAAGCCAAAGCCAGCTCCATAACCCTGTCACAGCTGCTCTGTTTTTTCAATGCCTTTGCAGCAGCTGTTCCCTCTGCCTGGAAGGTTCTCTCCCTTATCTGCCTATCAAAGCCCTAGTGTTCTACCCTATCAGCATCTTTTTAGTGCCTCCTTAACTTCCTGCACGAGCCTGTGAGTCTGCGAGCCTGTGCACCACCAGGCAGCCTTGTGCACTTTCCTCCTTTGTTCCCGTGACCCTGTACACAATTCTTGCACGGAACTTGCTACTTCACTTGCCTAGAAACACAACAGCTCAAACACTGAACTGCTGTATTGATGTGTGACTTTGAACAAAAGTTCTCCAACCTCCCAATTTCTCCACCTTCTCATTGTAAAACAGAGATTATAATAATCTGTACTTCGTAGAAAATGTGAGAGAGATAAATGAAACCACACACAGGAAGCACTTAACACAATGCCTGACACATGGCAGCTACTATTTTTTAGCTGAACAAATGATGAGAGATGCAAGGGTCAGAGGACACAGAAAAACACCGAATCTGGAAGGAGACAGGGAGGCGAGCACACTGAGGGAACCTCACAAAGACATATGTTAGGTAATCTTTTGCTCTGATCCCATACAAATGACATTTCAGATGACACGGCCAGAGGAAGATTCACACCATGGAAGTGCTGGCTGACCTCTTATGCTTCACAGCTCCTGCCAACAGTTTTGCTTGGGAGAACTTGTTCTTGGTTTCTATGGGTTTCACAGTCAATTTCTTCTCCACCTCCTTCTTGTTTTCTGCAGAAATTCCAACCTTGTTGAGATTGCTGTGAGTTACAGGTTAAGGGTCAAACTAAACAAAAGCCACAGGACTATGGTAATCAAAAGGAGGACAACAAATATAATCCACTGGCCCTTTGGCTGTATCATATAATCTTTGGCCTACTTATTAAAAAAAAAAAAAAAAAAAAAAAACCCAGCCCCTTACCTCTTTATTCTGCCTGTTACATCCAGCTGATTTAAACAGAAACGAAGGTGACCTCAAAGGGAGACAGTATATCAAGTCCAAAATAACACAGGCAAGCAACTTTTTCCTCTGACTTTCAATGACAATCTAAGCATATCCAGAGAACCCAGTATTATCAAAGACATGCTTGAGGAGAAAACAAGGATCTTAAGAAATATGAAGGAAACAGGGAGAAATTATGGTTTCCCTTAAAATATGTGCTTCTCCCTAACAAGGGTGAAACTGGATTTTGCAGATGTCTTTACGACTATCAGTGGCACTCAAACTTGGATCATGAAGGCTAACTCCCGCTCTACTGGTACAATGCAACATCAGAATTCCCTCAAAGCTCGTTAAACACGAAGACTCCCTCTTCTGTCTCCTGTCCCTGACTACTGAGTAAGGCTCTCAGAGGCCCAAGAATCGTTTTAACACTCTCTTAAGGTGATTTTAATAAGAAATCCTGTGCAAACATAACCCAAGCAACAAAATGCTATTTGTAAAAGCATAAGCAGAGTGCTTGTCACATCACTGTTTCATGCCCCATGTCAACCTCTCACTCTCAAGGTCTGTCACTTTCACTTGTTCTGCCAGCCCCTTGGCTCCCTTTTATTTTATTTTCTTTCTCACAACAGATTAGACAACAGAGTATTCTGCCACAGTATAAGTTCTTAAGATGTGGTAGTAACTTACTGAACAATAGTGACATCTAGTGCCCAAGAATCCAAGCAGCAGCCCAAAGAGGTGGGCAGAGGTACATAATCTAGATACAAAATCTAGGTTATTTATCTCTGTGTCCTTGAACTATAGAGAAAACTGGGTACCAGAAACGAGGAAATGCTCATTCTGATAATTCTTTAGGCACCAATTCTGTTCCTACAGCATTAGTTAGCTTAAATATTTGTAGTATTAGATGGGCATTGTGTAAAATGCTCAGTACTATTCTCAAATTCATCAATAAAAACATAATATGCTAATGCTGAATATTAATATTGTTTAAAAAATAGAAAGAAATGGAGATTTCAAAAAAACACTAGCCTGAAGCTTTTTTTTGGTGGGGGGAGTGTACCAGAGATTGAATTCGGGGCATTCAACCACTGAGCCATATCCCTAGCCCTATTTTGTATTTTATTTAGAGACAGGGTCTCACTGAGTTGCTTAGCACCTTGCTTTTGCTGAGGCTGGCTTTGAACTCGCGATCCTCTTGCCTCAGCCTCCCGAGCAGCTGGGATTACAGGCATGCGCCACTATACCCAGCCCACCTGATGCATTTTTACCTGCAACTTCATCAATAAGGAACAGACACTCTCAAAGAGAACTTTCAATATTAAATATTGAAAAAATAAAACAAAAATGGGAAAAAATACAACGAAACCATATATGTATTTATAATACCAGATCCCAGACAAAGAACAACATTTAACCTTTATTCTTTTAAAGTGAAGAAAAGTCCCACCCTTTTTTTTGGCAGGGAGAGAGGTGGTAATCTTATTTTTGTTCCACAGCTAAAGCACAAGATTTTCCCTCCTTGAGTCCTTTTCCCTCAAAATGCTTTAAAAATAGACACATACCTCAAAAATATCAAGGAATTCTTTAGATGAAGAATTTCTTAAAACTGCGTAATTTTAAATACACATAATATTACTAACTACTAGTTTAACATCTAAAGTGCTGTTGTTTACATGGCACAAACCATAGTTTATTTGCATTCAGAAGTATCATGTTATGAGATGTATCGTGTCAAAATATGCAAAGCCATGAGCCAGCTCCTAATCTAGAGCCTCAATAACCAAATGTCTAATTCTTCCGCTCCTATCTCCACTCATCTCCGGCTGCTTGTATTCATGGGATCAGTGCATTATACATCAGGGGTGAGGTCGGCTTTTTGTCAGTTTTTCTACACAGTCAGAACTTCCCAAGTTTCCAGCCAAATCCAACATCCCTCAGAGCCTCTGTAGTGTTGTTAAAACAATGTTAACAGGACAGAAAAGTTTCTGTTCTTTCCTTCCTTTTAGTTGAAAACTGAAGGGCATTTCACACAGCCCTACTCTCCAGAACGCTCCCTTGGGAGACACTTGCTGCCAACCTAAAACAAGATGTAATTCAAATGAGAAGTGCTAAATTAATGTATTTCCTTGAAGGAAAAAGCTTGGGTCTGAAGCAATGTACTACATGTATCTGCCCATTGCTACAAATATCAACACACAATACTATTTGGGGGTCATCAGGGTCAGGGTTGGGGAGTTCAAAAGAATTAGTCTCACTCCTACAGCTGAAACTGAGGAGTAACTTTCCGTCAATTCCTATCCTCAAGCTGCATCTGAATGTTACTAACAGACTAAAAATGGAAGCTAGGACTTTTGCAACCAGTTTATATCCAAACACAATCCCAGGGAATCTGCACAGTTTCTCTCATAACACAAAATGGAACCAACTGCACATTTCCTGCAAAAAAAAAAGACCAACTAGCACATCATTGTCAGAGGTGAAGCCTGTTCAAACACAGTAGTGAGGTTATTCAACAAATTAGCTTGAAATATTCAAATAAATTTCCTCACAGGAAGAAAAAAGGTTAGGGTGGCCACATTAACATCTAAAGTCACTCATTAATTTATTCACATATTTCATAAGAATATACTACATGTCAGGCACTGGGAAAAGTAGTGGTCAAGTCTTTCTGTTATTGCTGCTAGTAGTAGTAGCAGTAGTGGCTTTGTGGTACTGGAGATTGACCCAGGGGGACTTTACCACTGAGCTATATTCGCAGCTCCTTTTTATTTTTTATTTTGAGACAGGGTCTCACTAAGTTACCAAGCCTGGCCTCGAACTTGCAATCCTCCTGCCTCAGCCTCCCAAATAACTGGGATGACAGGTGTGCACCACTTGCACCCAGCTTACGTCCTGGTGATTATGGAGCTTACTTTGCATTTTAGCAGTAAAAAGATAAAACAACCCAGTAAAAACAAACGACAATTTTCAGATAGTGACAAGTGCTGTTAAAAAAAAATGGTACCACAGAGCCTGGAGTGTATCTCAGAGGGCAAACATACGCTTAGTATGCATGAGGCTCTGGGTTCAATCCCCAGCACTGCAAAAAAAAAAAAAATTTAACTCAAAAGCCAATTTTTCCCCTGCATGATGTTGACTGCATTGCCCTGTCTCAAGAGCCTAATTCCACAAGGCAGGAATATATACAGCTACCTCCTGGATTTATGCCTGTACTCAATACTAAAGAATGTGGACTTGTGATTACAGTTTTTTTAAACTCTTGCATGCAACAACACAGACCCTGCAGATCACTACCAGTCATTCAGGGCCCAGGAGTTCAAAGAACTGAAAGGGGAGTAGAGTTGCAAAATATTTTGAAGATCACCAAATATTTATGAGAATACTGACACTGTACAGATTTCCCTCCAAGTACAAAGGATATTCTGTATTCCTTCAATTCTTTCAGTTCTTCTTCTCTTCGTTGCTTTTCTATAAGTTCCTGCTGCCGAGAAACCTCATCAAGGAAGTTGGTCTCATCTTCATCTAAACCTCTTACCATGTTTTCTGAGGAAATAATTTAAAAGGAACACTAAGTAAGCTAAAGGGAAAATATAGACAAATAAGACTTTTTTTTTTCTCTTTTTTTTAATAAACTGCAGGTTCTTCAGGGGATTAGGAGAAAGAACTGTTAAACACCATGGCTTTTAGATAGATGATATGGCATAAAATCAAGGCATTTCTCCCATTACTAGATATTAGCATAGAATTTAAATGGGTATCTTGAGCTTTAAACAAAATGCTCAATGTGGCGTAGAAGGCAGAAGGCTGTGTCTTTTCTATCAAATGAGCATCTGGAGATGAGATAATCAAGACAATTCCACTGCTAGTTAGAAAGAATGTTACATGAGGCAAAAGCGATCAAAAAAGACCCTGTAGAGTCCCCTGGACGCTGTATTTTCTGAACCTTACTGAATTTGAACTGCTCCTCATACTCCTGCTGCTTCCTGTCTTTCTGCTCCTGTAGCCTTTCATACAGAGACCGAGGGTCATAAACCTCCTCTGGACACTCTGAAAGAAAGATGAGTAGATAGAGTGGGGGAGGGGGGGATACACACTTTAGAATTTTTTCATACTATTTTGGAATCACGAGGAATTTTTAATATAAAGCCAAGTCCTGCATGATCTGAAGGTGAGGATAACACAAAAATAGCACGAAGCCCACTGCTTCCCTTTGGATCTCGAAGAGGGGTCAAAGGTTCTCAAAGGCCAACTACCAACGTCAATAGGGCCCATGCCTGGGACAGTTACATGGCTGAGGGATCAGCCCACACCCTCCATAGCAGCGGTGTTCTCAGCTGCTCAGACTGTGGGTTCACCTATCCAGATGGAACAGACTAGCAGAATCTCCCGGAAGGCAGTGTGGGAGAGAAGAAAGACTGAGATGTGAGCGAGCACCCCAGTGTGCCACAGAGGCCTTACACAGTTCCCCCTCTGAGCCTGGGTTCCTCGACTCTAAAGCAACGACAACTAATGCCTATGTGGCAGGTGCTATAAGGATTAAAGATCACTATGTAAATGTCCAACCACAGGCCTATGTACCTTCTGGATCTTCAGGTTTTCGAACTTTCTCCCATTCTTCTTGCCTCCTTTTGCGCCGTTCATCTAGTTCTGCCTCAGATACAAACCTCTTTTTGATGACAAGGTTACCATCATCCCCTCCATCCATACTGGAACAATCAGTCTACCAAAAAAGGGAGAGAGAAAGAATTGCAATTAAAATTTCAAAGAGAAACAAGTGAGCTCTGTTTCATCCAGGAATAGATTAAAATGTTTTCTTCCTCAAATGGTTTAATTTATTAGGTCATTGATGAAAGAACAAAATTACATTTTCCCTAATTTATCAGGTTACCTACAGAGTCAGTGAAAGAACGTGGAATAATTCTCATTACCTGGCGTTTCACAGTAAATCTCAGTGTCCCTCTATTCTAAACAAACTGGTCTCCTGGACATCTCACCCTTTCCCCAGCTCTCATTCTCTTTTATTTCTATAATATTTCAAAAAAGTTTTTACCAATGAATTACAGTTATATATAATAGTGGGGTTTATTTTGTCATATTTATAAATGCATATAAAATAATTTGCTCCATTAGTCAGTAGTATTTTGCCCTTGCCTTCCCTTCTCTCCTCCCTCCCCAATTCCCATTTCCATAATATTTGACATTATTCCTTCTTGAAATGCCTGTTCCAGGGACAGGTCCCTATCTTGATTCACCTGCTCTCGCTTCCAAGAAATTCAGATGAGAATCTCAGGTACCCAAAGAGCTTTAGTGATGGAGTCCAGGCTGTACAGCAGGGAAGTGATAGGCCTAGAGATACACAACCAGGAATGGAGAGTGAAACTAGAAGAACCCAGGTCTCCCACACACTTTCCAAGCTATCAAGCCAAATCCTCTTACCCACCCTCCCTCTAAACACCCTGTTTGCACACTTAGAATTCTATCTTCATTCCTTCTCTTTTCTCATTCACACAACAATCTTGACCATCTTATGCATGTCTTTATGTAGAAGATTTCCAATCTCCTATGTATCTTCCTCATCTACCTGGACCTTTCTTTAGAGAAGAGGGGAGAAGGAAATAAAGATAAAATAGTGTATATTATTCCTTTTAAACTAAGCCTCTTTCTGTTTTTGCTTGCTGGTTTCTTTCCTTTCAAAGAATTGTGGAATTAACCATCCTCTGACGTGTTATGTATTCTTCACATTACTCCCTAACAAAGAGGCACATACTCAACCCAATGTTCACTTAAAGATGACTGCTAATTAGAAAAACAATAAAGTTTACTAAAAGTAAGAAAGAAAGTCTGCTATCACAAAAGTAAAGCAGATAACTGAGTGTGATAGGCATTCCTGTAACCCCACCTACTCAGGAGGCTGAAGCAGGATGTAAATTCAAGGCCAGCCTCAGCACCTTAGTAAGACCCTGTCTCAAAATAAAAAAATAAAAAAGGCTGGGGATGTAGCTCAGTGGTAAAAAGCTCCTGGGTCTTTTTAGTACCCCCCCCAAAATTAATTAAATGAAGTAATAGTATTTACTAAGTTCATACCACATACTACATACTTTGTATTTACATAAATGTTGACCCTATAAGAAATATTATCTCTTAACAAATGGAAAATAAGTTAGAGAAATTTTATCAGTTGTCTAAGGAAATAAAGATGGTAAATGGTAGAGCCAAAAATCAAATCCAAACCTGACATCAAAAATTCCTACTCTTAGATGGGCATGGTGACACACATCTGTAATCCCAGCAGATCAGGAAGCTGAGAAGACTATATAAGTTCAAAGCCAGCCTCGGCATTTTTTTACCCTGTCTCAAAATGTCTCAAAATTTAAAAAAAAAAAAAAAAAATTATAAAGGGCTGGGGATGTGACTCACTGGTTAAGCACCCCTGGGTTCAATCCCTGGTACCAAAAAAAAATCATACCCTTACTCACTTTTACCATATTTCTCCCCCAAAACCACCACATTTGGTTGAAAACAAGAGCATGTCAATTTCAACTTTTTTTCTACATCAAATTCCAGTGCTGAGAATGTTCATGCAACATTCTTATTTAATAAAGCTAGAAATGAAGCAAACACACTCTAACATTCAGAACAAGAGAAATAGTAATCGTCTCGGCCTGAAAGCTACTATTTGAGGTTTAGTACAATATAACAACGAGAGAATTCTGAAAATTACTACAAAAAAACCTAAATCAACTGACAGAAGCTGTTGTTCCCACATGAGCATCACATCCTGGACACCTCTCACCACTACCACTCATCACCACATTTCAATCCAGAGGGTTATTACAAAAGCAGAACTGTTCAGTCTCTGTGCCACACCCCAAATTCCTCAAGGTCTGCAGAACAACCTCTTCTAAAAAACAAGCCAACAATTTATTAAATATTCCTAGCAGAGGAAATGCAAACTAGGTGGGGCTCTAATGGATGGGAGAGACATACTGGACTCTCAATTTCCCCCTTTCTTACTGTTATAGCTGTCTGTTGTAGCTCTCCTTTCTCACCCTGTATTAGCTCTGTTTTTTCCCCTCACCTATGTCTTGGCAAATAATTCAGAGAAGACAGGTCCCTATAACTCTACCAAGCATCTGAATCCACCAGACATACCTAGAAGACGGGCACCTAATTCACGTTTCAAAACCTCAAGATGGACTACTGCACTCCCTTCCCAGGCAGCCAAGCCTTCTCTGACAGGCCTGACCTTCCTCCTTAAAGTAACTGAAATCTGTCTTCCTATGAACTCCAAGAATAGGTTCAATCCACTGGGACTACACAAGAAGGAGCCAAATCTTTTCCAAGATGACAACAGGACAGTTGTTTGACGCCAACTCCCTGTTCCTCCTAACTTGTTACTTTTCTGAGCCAAACATTCCTAGTTGCTTAACCTTACAAAGTAAAGAAAAGCAACTAAGGGCAGGGGTCATGGCTCAGTAGTAGAGCACTTGCCTACCATGTGTGAGGCACTGGGTTCGATTCTCAGCACCGCACATAAATAAGTAAATAAAATAAAGGTCCATCAACAGCCAAAAAAAAATTTTTTTAATTGTCTCAAAGTATTGAATTTACTTGAGCCAAGGTAGATGGTCACACTTAGCAGTGGTTTTCTGTGAGTTCAAAAGGGACAAGACTAAACCAATGCTTTACATCCAAAGAGAATGGAGGCCAACTGTGTCATAAATCTTGCCAGCCACATAACCTGAATAAATCCTATTTGGCCCAACTCGGGAACTGTATGGGCCAAATAAAACGTATGAAGGCCTCATTTAGCCTGTGGGCTACTTGTTTGCTACCTCTGTACTGTACCAATGTGCATTTTCCTCCACAGCTCTTCACTTGCTGAAGCACTTCAACTGCTGCAGTTCCCTGCCTGCCTCCAACACCACCAGTGGCTCTCTGTATATTTAATTTTGATCATCTTTCAACATTAAGAAAGGTCTAAGATATGGACAGAGAATTTTAATAAACAAGTAGCCATAGTCCTGAGTATTCTGGATAATAATCAGGTCTTGCTAGGCACAGTGGTGCATGCCTGTAATCCCAACAACTTGGGAGGCTGAGGCAGGAGGATGGCAAGTTCAAAGCCAGCCTCAACAATTTAGCAACTTATTTTGAGATTCTGTCTCAAAGAATAAAAAGAACTGGGGATGTGGCTCCATGGCTAAGCATCCTTGGGTACCAAAAAAAAAAGAAGAAAGAAATATTCAGGTTTTTTCAGGATTCAAACCTTCATTGTCAATACTGCCAATAAGCAAGCTTAATTTTACACCCCCCTTTCAGTACATCCTGCTTGAATTCAACTAATCTATAGTCTCCTTATCAAGAGAAGGTACAGGTAATGATAAAGACTATGTACTTTGCTTGAAATTTTGAGACTTGTGTTCAAAATTTGATTCTACCCCTTATTAGTATGATGGTGTGCAAGTCACTTAACTCTTCTGAGCCCTGGTGTCTACACCCACAGACTACACTTAACAGCAAGGATCAAAACAGCACGACATAACATAAAGCTTTTGTCTGGGTAAATAACATAATTCATGTAAAACACTTAGCACAATATATAAAAGCTTTGAAAAGCTTCCCATTACTACAGATTTTGAACACAAGTCTCTTAATTTCAAGCAGAGGAGGAAGAGAAATACCATCTGCACTCAACTCAATACCATCTGCAGTAGGGGAAAAATAAATTAGTGACATAAACAAATATTACAAGTGGGGGAAGGGATTGCATAAAACAGAAATTAGGCCAGGCATCGTGGTGCATGCCTCAGGAGGCTAAGGCAGGGGAATTGCAAGTTCAAAGCCAGCCTCAGCAACTCAGCAAGGCCCTGAGCATCTTAGTGAAACCCTGTCTCAAAATAAAAAAATAAAAAGGTCTGGGGATATAGCTCAGTTGGTAAAGCACCTCTGGGTTCAACACCCCCCCAATAAAATAATTCCAACTGATTAAAAATACTTATACTGAGAAGTATTGCTGTACAGTGTATTTTTCTTTGAAGGGTTCAAGATCCATTGGCTGTTTATTCTGCGATAGTGAAGTGATAAGTGCCTCCAACTCACTGACCTCTTTCTGGAAGTAAACAGAAGAGCTGGGAAACTGTCTTGCCTTGACTTACTCCTACTGCTTAGCTAAATTTTTCACAAGTCTCTTCTTTTTCCTTTTTGTTTGCTAGAATAATTTAAAACATCAAAACAAACATCCCAGGATTATGGTAATCTATCAAGATCAATGCAGGCCAAGACAACAATCCCAGCTACTCAGGAGGCTGATAAAGGAAGATCAAGTTCAAGGCCAACCTGAGCAATTGAGCAAGACCCTGTCTAAAATATAAACTAAAAAAGGGCTGGGGATGTAGCTCAGTGTTAAAGCACTTGTCTACCATATTCGAAGCCCTGGGTTCCACTTGTGGGGGAGTATCAATGTAGGAATGCAGTGGATTTATGCTGGAATGCTCATTTGCTTTTACTGTGTTAAATTTTAGAGTAAATCTGGTCAACCTTCCTTTACTCAGGTAGCATTTTTAATTATGAAATTAAACATAACTTTGTTTTATTTTTGTGGTATTGAGGAGGTAACGCAGGGACTCATGCATGCTAGGCAGCACTCTCCCACTAAGCTACACCCCCACCCTAATATTATATTATTTTTAAAAGGATTAAGTTCTTCAAATAGAGGATTCACGGAAAATCAAAGCCATACCAAAATCCTTTTGTCCAAATTTAAAAGTTTCAAACTGGCACAAATAAAGTCCATGGTTTTCAAATTTGCCTGATAATCAAGAAAACAAAGTTCTTATATTTCAGGCCAAAGAAACTGTGGAATACTACACTACTGTATTTATGCTGGAGACTGGTATTTAATTTCCAAATTGGTGAGGTGAAATGGGCTCAGGGTCTTATCTAGCACACTCTGCAAGTTTTAAAATACAAAGCTTACATTGCTCCCCCCAAATAATTGCTATACCTGATTGAAAAATCACTCCACTTATCTAGTGCCATGATGCAATTTAATGAGATCTGATTTCCTAGGGAACTGAATTTTGTGATGGCAGACTACCTTCAGTGTTTACATCACTGGCCACCATAATCTTTTAACTCTAAAATTAGGTAGATTATACATGTAAAAATACACCAGAAGAAATCAGATTTCTGTTATGATGTTCTAAGGCTTCACACAGGATAGCAAAAATAATAGTTCAATACATTCCCTTGTCAGTACATATATAGTTTACTGCTTTCCAATGTTTTTAACCCTGATGTTAAATCACCCTGTCCTTCAAAATTCAGGATGGCAACTAAGAGGAATTTGCCATCTAACTAACTTAACTATTACTATATTCCAAATAAAAAAGACTATTTTCTGACCAAAAGGCACTTCTACTAAGAAACTTTTTCAGAGGGGCTGGGGTTGTGACTCAGAGGTACAGTGCTTGCTTTGCATGTGCAAGGCACTGGGTTCGTTCCCCAGCACCATGTTAAAAAAACTAAATAAACAAAAATAAAAGTATTGTGTCCATTTGCAACTAAAAATATTTTTAAAAATAAACAAATCGTCAAGACTTTGTTTAAAAAAAAACTTCAGAGAAAACAATTCGTAACAGAAAACACTGTTAGTTTTGCTAGACAAAATAATTACTAGACAAAGTCAGTCTTCTAACACAGAATTTATTTAATATACTCCAGTACAAAGGAGATTATGTTTGAATGTCTTGGGATTCTCGGGATTAAACCCAGGGGTGCTTTACCACTCAGCTGCTTTCTCAGTCCTTTTTTTTCTTTTTTCATTTTCTTAATTTGAGACAGGTTCTTGCTAAGTTGCTTAAGGCCTCCCTAAGCTGCTGAGGGCCTCAAATTTGAGATCGTCCTGCCTCAACTCCCAGAATCAGTTACAGGCATGCACCAAGCTCAGCTTTAATCTGTTTTAAATATTTATTATGAAGAGCAGTTTGTAGCCACACTCTAGGCATCTAAAAAAAAAACATGTTCAATTAGCTAAAATTATGTTTATTTAGCTTTCCATAGCACAAGAATTTGATATGCACTATACATACTAAAGGAAATAGCACTGATTTAAATATTGGTTCCCTTAGCTGCTCCTTGGTTTCCCAATGTACATGTACCTCTCAGAATATAAATAACACTACCCTCACTATGCATGTTTCTTATGTTACTTATAGTTTTTACACATTGTGACTTATAAATCCAACTACTTCATCTGGAGCTCACAGGGGGGGAAATAGCAGTTTTTCCAACTGGAAGGAAATCTGGCCATGTCAAAACTTTTTAGCACTGATATTTCTATGTCCAACATGATGCCTCCCTGAGATTTTCAAGGACCTTTTCTGTGCAAGGCACAATGCTAGGTACTGAATAGACACTTAACTTTTTAGTGAGAGAACTTGCATTCAGTAAGAGATAAGGTTGGCATATGAGTAATTTAAAGAAAAGTAGAACACAGTTAAATGCTAAGAACAGAAGTCAAGCACTCAAGAGTTAAGAAAAGGAATAGAATAAGCCATCAAAGAAGCTTATTTTTTTTGTGTTTGTTTTGGTAGTATGGGGGAATTGAACTCAGGGGTGTGCACTTTACCACTGAGTTACACCCTGAGACTTCATTTTTGTTTTGAAACAGTATCTAAGTTGCCCAGGATGGCCTTGAACTTGCAATCCTGCTTCAGCCTCCTAAGTAGCTGGTATTACAGGCACGTACCACCATGCCCCACAAGGAAGCTTAACAGCTGTGGCACTAACGTTGAGGAAGTTTAAGGAAGAAAAGTCATCTTTCACTTAGGATTGCAAGAATCACAAATTATACAATCCAAAAATCACAATGAAGGGGATCCTGATTTCTAGAAAAAGTAGGCTAGGTAATTAAGACCAATCCTCCACTACTATATTAAAAAAGATCTATATATTTTTTTCTTTTGTCTGTTTCACTATTTTTTTTTTTTGAATGCTGGTATTGAACCCAGACCTTCCACATGCTAGGCAAGTGCTGCACCACTGAGTTACATCCCCAATCCTAAAGTTGAAAAGTTCTTTAAAAATAATTCTGAAATAGAAAAGCTAACAAGATAGTAAATAATCTAAATAAAATCTAGGAGGATGTTAAAAATCATAAATTAAGTCTAATATTCACAGTGGATTTCATCCTGATGATTTATCTGACCTGAAAGCCACAGTTTCAATGCCAGCATGTGGCAGAATGTGGAATCTGATAACCACCTCCTTCTCCATCTTAATCTGGTACCCCAAAGAACTATACCCTCAAGATAAAGGTGAACTGGGAAGTAAAAAGCAAGAATGGACAGCACAAACAGACCCAAAGGGAATTCACACTGTGAAATTAATCATCAACTATAAAACACTATGCTTACTATCTTTAAAGAAATAAAAATCAAACCTCAAAATCAGTAGTAGGGAATAAGAAACAGTACAACAGTGGCAAACTCAAATTTCTTGGTTCAGGAACTAAAAAATTCAAGAATAGACACATGTCTAGCATGAGCAAGGCTCAGATTTGATCCCCAGCACTGCTAATAAAGAAACAAATATTAAAAATGCAATAACTGGACTTAACATTTCAGTGGATGAGTATCATAACAGACTGGAAATAAGAGAATTAATGAAGAGATTATCCAGAATGTAGTAGAAAAACAGAAAGGGACATATAAAATAGAAAAGTCTGTTACAGTAAACAATAAACAATGGGACTGAGCAATTTGTGAATATAAAATGGATGAGGATTTTATATAACTAATGAAAGACACTAATCCACAGAGTCAAAAAAGTCTAATAAATACTAGACTAACTGAACAAAAACAAATCATACAAAAAAAAATCAAAGACAAAGATGAAACAATCTTAAAAACTAATCATATTTAAGAAAGAAGACAAATGTTGTGCCAGGCAGAGACAGATAACTGTTGAGAGTAAACATACTGAAAAAGTTAAATTTAGCTTCCACAAAGGCATATGACACCATGATTGAGCCTATGGCCAAACTACACACTTAAATTACTTCGTTTATCAGATACGTGGTTTTTCAATTTAAGAAGCAGCAGCCTGACCCTAACCAAACATCAAGATTTGCAGAAGGTAAGCCTGGTGCACACCTGTAATCCCAGCTACTCAGAAGGCTGAGGTAGGAGGATCCAATTTTGAGGCCAGCCTCAGCAACTTAGTGAAGCCCTAGGCAACCTTAGTGAGACCCTGTCTCAAAATAAAAAATAAGAAGGGCTGGGGTTGTGGCATAGTAGTAAAGTGCCCTTGTGTTCAATCCTCAGAAATCCCGCCGGAAAACTTTCTTGGAAGGTAAAAGTGAAGACTGATAAACAAGTACATGGTCTTGACATAATTTTTTCTTTCTTAAAAACCTTAAGAATTTCCCCATACGGTAAAGGCATTAAGACTTCAGTAAAGAAAAAAACTGGGGCAGCCTTTACTTTCAGACATTCACAAACTGTTCACAGCTCATCTTGGGCTCTATTTGGAATATATAAAAGCTGCCTTTATCTCAGCTCAATTTCTTGTATCAGAAGGAGTCTACACACGGATTTCTTTCAAACGTTTCAGCAGCAGTGCTCTCCAAACCACTTTATGGTGTCCCTGCGGACACACCAATATCAGCCAAATAACTTAAGAATAGACAAATCCTATCTCATAGCTGATACAAAAGAGGTCATTAAGAATCTGACCACCAGGCTGAATTTGGCTTCCTAGGTCCCATTTAAGACCTTTTCCGCCAGACTACTTGCGGGTAAGGGTCTGAGAATATGCATTTTTAAGTTAAGGGCCACAGATCTTGTTTTCCCCGCGGCTATGAACGAACAGGTATCCCCTTTCTCCGGGGTGGGCGGGATTCCCAAGGGCCAACAACTCTCAAACGCCAAGTCTCAACTCTCGATCTTTCAGTTACATGAAAATGCACTTGGCACAGCAAATGAACATAATAAATGTGTTTCCCATGCTGCACTTATCCCATTTCCAACAGGAGTTCCCTGTCGCCTGAGCAGCCTGGAGCTGTTTCAAGACCTCTGGGACACAGCCGGCCCAGGCCAGTAGAAAAGTGGAGAGAGCCGACAAGAGACGCTCAGGGAACATCCCCCGACCACCCAGCTGCCTTCCCACAGGCTCCCTCCGCTCCGTTGCAGGCTGGGCCCCGCGAGCTCGAAGCCCCGGCCACTCAAGACACCCTGCGAGTACGCGGACCGAGAACAGGCCTGGCACTACCCCTAACACTAGGCGCAGCTCACCATCTCCTCGGCGAATAGGTCCAGGTTTCGCCGCCTGGCCAGGACCCAGGCCGCACTCACCTACCAGCGCGCGGGAGGCGAGACTCCCTCCCCTCGGTGGCGCCCACCCCAAACCGCCACCTCAAAGGTCGCTCACACTTAAAAAAAAAAAAAGAAGAAGAACAAGAACAAGAACAAGAAAAAAAAGAGAGAGAGAGAATAAAGAAAGAAAATAGCCTTTGCTTTTGTATTCCTTTTGACCCTTCAGGGCTTCCTGTTCCTCACCGCCACAACAAAGCTCCGCCCCACTTCCGGCGGCTTAACCCAATCAACAGCTCTCTTCCTTCCTAAGAGCACGGTGGAAATCCGGTGCCCCAAAAGCGAGCCGGAGAGACTTGATTGGGCCAGTCACTCCTCAGCAAGGGGATTGGGCAGTTTACGCCTGAGGGGCGGGCCTGGCTGAGATCTCACGTGACACCATCTTTGAAAGATAATTGGCTGTTAGGGAGAGGGATTGCCACCTAGGAAGGGGCGTTTCCTAGGGGACTGAGGGAGGGTCAGGGCGGTACGAAGCGGGGGTGGGCCCTGCGCGTAATGGCAGCGCCGTGGCCTCGCGTCCATCTTTACCGCTTTCTTGGACCTGTCACAAAGGAGTCGTGCCGCTACAGCTGTCCCATTCCTCCTGTGGCCCCAGGAGCTGGAGAAAGTCAGTGCTGCGTCCGGGCCGCGCTACTCCGGGAACCCCCCTGGGGACGGGGGTACGGAAGGGAAGGGAGTCCGAGGGCTGAACCCGTCTGTGAGGGTGGGCAACAGTCGCTCGAGCCTGGGACGGAGAGACAGGACTGGGGCTCCGGCAGGCTCCTCAAAGGGGCCCGGTAAGGGGTGATGTTGGGCAGAGCCCGGGAAGCAGCTTGGAGGTTCTCCACCAAGGCCTGCGCCGAAGGCGCCTGAAGAGGTTCCTGGAGGAGGGTGTTCCCCCTTGGGGGGCGCGGGGATCTTGACTGGAGGAGGTTTTTTGGGGGGTCACCTTTCGGAGGACGCTGCGGCTAACCAGGCCCAGGTGAGAGGCAGGTATCCCCCGGGGAGGCTCCCGGTATTGAGTAGCGCTTCTCAGCGGTGCCTGGGGTAGAGGGGAGGACGTTTGGGGAGGAGGATTTCCCTTTGTGGAGTTTGCTGTTCCGGTGGGAGGCAGAGCTCCCCGCCCCCCTCCCCGGGACATTTAGAAACGCCCCGGGATCGAGAGCCCCCATTGAGAGAGAGGCGAGTAGGTAGGAGCCAGACTTAGCGGATTCTCCTGCTCCCGAGGCCCGGGCTGAAAATTGGGTAGGGACCTTGGGGAGAGGGGATTTCTGGGAGGTTCTGGGAACGAGACAGCTCCACTCATTGGAAAGCCCGAGTGGGGGGAATAGCGGAGGAAATGGGAATGGCCGGAGGTCTGCCCTCTCTGGAGGCCGACCAGGTGTCCCAGACACAGGATTCAGCTGCTTCTGGGCTTAGTGCCAGGATGGGGTGGGGAGAGTCCATTTCAGCAACATCTCCTGCATGGCCCCAGATTAGACATTTGTCCCTGCCTGTTGCCTCCTTTCCCTGTTTTGGGGGGAGGGAGACCGAAACAGAGGCAGAGATGTTTAACTGAGACTCAGAGCTTCTATCTGGTAGAGTTGAGTGAGGTTGCTCCCCCTGGAGTGTTGTACTTTGTACTTTCAAGGGTTGGAAGTGTCTATTATTGACTGAGTAGTCTCATAGTTTACAGTCCTTCACCTACCATCTGCTTGTCCTTCTTTAGTGGAGTTACTGAATCTCCTTGAGTTTCTAGTGTAAAATAGCCAACGCAGTATGTAAAAGTATTTTACAAACTCAGGCTGTGTGTGAAAGTAGGGTACTGTAATCCTACCACCAAACAGGTTGCTCTTGAGGAATAAAAGTGAAGGCCCTTTCCAAACTGTAGAGCAGAACGCAAATGTCAGAGATTAGCATTAATACAGAGGTCCATCACCTATTGAGTGCTGGGAGCCCGAATGCACTGAAAACTCCAAGGTTCCCACCTTCTTAGGTCACATTATAATCTAAACCTTTGGTTTCAAACCTTGCTACCATGGGGGTGGAGGGATTTCCCGTTTTTGCTCTGAGTTTTAATTTACTTTGAATTTATGATGATGCTGGCAGGAGTAAGACTATAATATAATCTTTTCATACAGGAATTTCCTACTGAAATTTTCCTCCAAGTAATTTGACCTCAGTTTTGTAAACCTCCCCCTTTTTCATATATATATATATATATATATATATATATATATATATATATATATTTACAGCCTTAGGATGTCTAGAATTAGTGAATACCATGCTTCCGCTCTCAGATATGAGATTTATATATATATATATATATGTCAGATATGATTTATATATGAAAACACTTTTTAACATTCTTTTCCATAAACGTTCTCTTAAGTTTTCACTTTATATAAAGTTTGCATTCCTGGGATGATATCTTTAGATCCTTCTAAGAGATTATAAGATACTTGTGTCCAAGGGCTGGGGTTGTAGCTCAGTGGTAGAGCACTTGCCTCACAGGCATGAAGCCCTGGGTTTAATCCTCAGCACTATATAAAAATGAGTAAATAAAAATAAATATATTGTGTCCATCTACAACTAAAAAAAAATTTTTTAAAAAGATACTTGTGTCCATGTGTGACACTTCATGAATGTTCATTTAGTGGCATATGTTCGAGCTGATTTTCCAAAAAAAGTTGTGATTTTTGAAGTAGGGTTTTTATTTTGTTTTTTGTTTTTAAACTGATCTGGATTTCCTGCTTTTCTGATATTATATTCCATGGGTCATTGTTGTTTTTTATTTATTTATTTTTTTAGGATATTTGGTGTTCAATGTCTCCACGTCCCGTTATTTTGCTTTTTCACAACCCCTTCCATTTTTTTTTTCTGTACTCAATGATATTTTTAAGGTATCGATTATAGGAAGTGTTCTAGCTTATCCTATCTGGACGTTTTTCCTGCTTTGTCAGCAAAATAATTATTTAGCAAGTGTCAAGGGGAATTAAAACTTAGCATACTGTATAATAGTGTGTTATTTTGTAATGACTAGGGGGGAAACCCAACAGCTCTAACCTATGCTTTGATAAGAGTTTAACAATGGAAATTGTTGTGTGTTCCTGATGTGCATTTACTACAATCTCTTTCAACTCATGAGGTCAGTCCACTCCATCAAGAATTGTATATATTTTCCCCAATAATGATGTCTTTTGTTAGAATGAGATGGGAAGTCACGTTACATCCTTTACAACAAACTTTCTTTAATACCTTTAAGATCTGTGTAGTTTGGAGAAATTATTAGGAATTTTTGAAGATAATAATGACTATTATACAACTTTAAATTGTAAATTTTCTGGTTTGGTTTTTTTGGTGTTATTTTGCAGTACTGAGGATTAAACTCAGGAGCACTCTACCACTGAGCTACATTACATCTCCAGCACCCACTCCCCATCTTTTTTTTTTTTTAATTTTGGGATGCTGAGTTGCTGAGGCTGCCCTCAAAACTTGTAATCTTCCTGCCTCAATCTCCCTAGTTGCTGGGATTACAGGCATGTACCACCACATCTGGCAAATTTTCTGTATTTTGTGGTGGGATCCTTATGAAGAAAAATGTGATAATTTCAGGGTTCCAAAAGTAAATGGAAAGTCAATGGGCATCACAGATGAGAAGCACAGTAAAACCAGTAATCTATTTTAGAAGAGCTATTTGGGGATAGTAAACTATGTATTTAGTGTCTCTTCAAGCTTTTGCTTTTTTTTTTTTTTTTTTCCCTCCTCCTCCTCCCCAGTCCTGGGGATTAAGCCCAGGGTACTACATCCCCACCCCTTTTTATTTTTTTAAATTTTGAAACAGGATCTCTTTGAATTTCTCAGGCTGACCTCAAACTTGTGATTCTCCTGCGGTAGCCCCTCTAGTGCTGGGATTACAGGCCTGTGCAAACGAGCCTGATGCTTTTGGCATTTTCAAGACATTTACCATTTACTATTGAATGTGGGTAATTTTTTTTCATGGTATTCAAATTAGAAATTTGGAAAACAAAATAGTCAAGAAGTAGTAAGTGCCAAAACTTGGGACTTACTAACTTTTAGGAGGAAACTTTTACTTTTAGGAGTACAAAAGAATGAATATTTTTTCTATTATTTGTTCAGTAAGTCAGTTTTGAAGAAGTTTTCTAGCTGACCTTTATGACTAGAAAAATATACAGATTTATTATATTTTGCTCTCAGTATCCTTCCCCAAAGGGAGAGTTGCTGGTTAAATACGTAAAACAGTAACTATAGATAAAAATAAGGTATATTCAAGGTTAAATCAGGCAAAGTTCCTTTAGTAGTGAGTTCTTTAAAAGTATTCCCCTTTCTCTGTTTTCTGAGCTTTTGAGAATTAAGAATAGAATTGAGATGCATTCAAGTTTGTTAAAGAATGAACTCTATGTGTTGCTTTTCTATTGCTTAAAATTACAGTTTCTGGCATAATTTCATGAACCCTGTACACCTCAAATAGGAGGTTTGAAATACTTTACTCAGCAAATATAGCATTACCTCATAGTTTAATGTTTCAGTGTTAGTTTTTTCTTACCCCTCCACATTTCCTTCTTTGTTCACTTAGTGCAGTGATTCTCAAAATGTGACTCCTACCCCACCCCTTCTCATGGGAAATGCAGCTCTTTTTCCCCCTACTTTTCTTTGGCAGTGCTGGGAATTGAACTCATCCTTGCACATGCTAGGCAGCTGCTGTACCACTTTGCTACATCCCCTACCTTGTTTTATTTTGACACAGGATCTTACTAAATTGCCCAGGCTGGCCTCTAATTTGCAGTCCTCCTGCCTTATCTTCTCAAGAAGTTAGAATTACAGGTATGCATCACCACACCTGGTGACAGCTCCTTTTTTTTCTGTTCTTTTTCATGATTGTTCACCCTTGCCTGTGTCTGAGCTACTTATTAATAACATACCAAATGAATTACTAAGATAACTAAAACATAGTATTTATAACCTAAAACTAAAATGATCAGAATTTACTATGGTCATTAATACCTTTTTATCCCAGGTAGTCTGCCCTGGGAAACTTGGCACTGATACAGAACTTCTCACATGTCATATGTGGAATGGGGATTTCTGCAGTATTCAGGAAGGGTGCTTAGTTTGGGATACATCATCAGTATTGTCTCAAAATTATTTCGGTTTCCTATGATAATTCCTTATATTGTGAATTCTTGTTTTGTTTCTCA